TGGGGATGGTGTGCACACCTGATAACCCTAGTACTCTGGGAGATGGAGGCAGGAGGATCTCCAGTTCAAGTCCTGCCTAGGCAACTTAGCTGTCTCAAAATAAAAAAAAGAGGCCGAGATGTAGCTCAGTACCAAAGCTGTGGATTCAGTCTCCAGTAACACACACACACACACACCCCAACACCGCAACAGATAATAATAGCATTAGTAAGCACTAAGATGTCTATTGGACTTAGTATCTACGAGGGATTGTTATGCCTGCATATACCACTCCATTTATTCACAGTAAAAACCCTCATGGGTAAACATTATTATCTTTGTGTTGTAGAGGAGGAGACTGAGATACAAACAAGTTGAGTGATTCACTCCAAGTCCTCCAGTTAGTAGAGGGCAGAGTCAGATGGTGAGCTCCGTGTGTGACTTTGGGCCTGTGACCCACAGAGGCTGAGCCATGGGGGACTTGCTCCATCACGCAGCATGAAAGCCTGACGTGGTGAGGTCAGTGAGAAGTTACCTCTTGCATGCATTAGCAAATTTTGAGCAAAACCTGCTAAGTGGACTTAATACCCATCATTTAAAGTTTGAGAAAAAATTCACCTGCCCCTTCCAAATAAAGCAAAACAGCCATCAGAAACTGACTGCACGGAGGGTGGGGTTCTGGGGGTGAGGGTGGTCGGGACCCCTGGGCAGGTACAGTCGAAGCCTGTTGGGTTAACGGGATCGGTTCCTTGATCTGTCTGAAAGTAAAATTTTCAACTGTCACTAAGAGCCAGTTCCTTCTTTTTTGCTCTTCTGCTCCCAAAGACATTTATAATTTGTTTGTGATGTTTTGGAATTTGCCTGGATTAGAGGGTCTTTCAAGGTTCAGTTGAACTCTCCGAGGCCTGCTCGGGGAGGGAAACTCCCTAGACCACGTTGCTGTGAGTTCTCCCCAGTGGCCTCTGAAGTCTATGGAACGGCGTGTGAAACCCCACGCGAGTGTCCCCCCCGCAGGCCTTCATTAAGGGACGCAGAGGACACAACAGTGGTGTAGATGTCCCCAGCGGCCACACATTCCTCCCGACATTCGCTTCTGTTTGTAACTTCAGCGGCAAACATTGGTTAATGCAGTGGTTTTAGAAAATTCATTAACCTCAGAAATGAATGGCGCTAAATGAGAATTTTTAGCTGACCTGAAATATTTTTCTGCGATTTAATTACTACCTACCTGTGTTCCAGCGACTCACTTTGATCAATAATCTTTCTAAATACACATAAAACATCAACATTTGAAATAGGTGTTTGTTGCTCACATCTATTCCTTTATTGATCGGCCTCTTAGAGATTAGGAACAGATTTATGCCTTCTCTCTAAAAAAAAAAAAGAAAAAGAAAAATAACCCTTCATTTCTACCTGCTTTAAAAAATTTTTTCTATTTTCTTATGTTCGTCTCTTTTTCTTGCTTTTGTTCCCAGGCCCCTTCTTTTTCTCTGTGTCTTCTGGCCGGCCTCTGCTAGCAGTCTCTGTCACTTTCTTCCTGGGGACCTGGGGATTGGGGATTGGTGCCAGCAGCGAGGCTGGACTGGGGTCCTGCTCCTGGCCGGCCTAGCAGCAGCACGGAGGAAAGCTGAGAGGGACCATACTGCTTGGCAGTTTTATTGTTTTTGAGTCGTACCGAAGGGAGCCATCGAGGAAGCAGAATGGATCGTGTTCAGTTTAATACACGTCTGTAGAGGGCACCCTGATCTTATGTGACGGGAGCGGAGGCACACACCCCTGTTCTTAGCGGGGAGTGTGGCCCCGGAACAGAAATGCAGAAAGACCTGAGAGAGGAGATTTACTACTGTAGCGTCTCCTTGAGTTCTAAGGCATTACCGCTGTGGAGTGCTCCGCTAGCACTCATGATGAGGTAGCTGATGAAGGTGGATTTTGATTATATCATTTTCCCTTTGGTGCTGTGATTAACAGGTCACCACAAATTCAGCGACTTAACACCGTTATGGTTCTGACGGTCAGAGATCCTAAAGTCACGATGTTGGCAGCTTTCCTAATCATGCTCCTTGTCAATACTCGACACCTGCAATTTAAAGGAGGAGAGGGTTACTTGGGCTCCCAGGTGTGGAGGTTTTAGTCCACGGTCCACCGGCTGCAGGCTGGGTGATGTGGCAGAGGGGCCTGGTGGAAGACAGCTGCTCACGGCATGGTGGCCAGGAAGCAGGTGGTCAAGGGAGGAGCCCAGAAGGGAAATAGACCCTTCCAGGCCACGCCCATGCAACCTGCCCCTTCCAACCAGACCCCACCTCTAACAACGGTCAGTGGAGCCTCCCTCATCATCCAGTCACCTCCCAGAGGTTCCTGCCTCTGCCCACATGAGGCTTCAGGGAGCATCTAGATTCAAGCCCTGACTCTTTCCTTCTGGGTGTTCCGGAGGAGATCTTGTGCCTTGCTTTCTCCAGCTTCTAGAGGCTGCCTACATTTCTTGGCTCATGACCCTTGCATCTTCAAAGCCAGCCTTTTCATCTGACCTTTGCTGCTGTTGTCAACGCTCCCCTCCCTCTTATTTAAGGATCCCTGTGGTGACATTGGACCCAGCCACATAACTAAAGAAAATCTCCCTCACGACCCTTAACTCTGCAAATCTGTTTTGCTCTGTGAAGTAACATATTCACAGGCTTGGAGACCGAGGCATGAACACAGGAGGTGGTGGGGGTCACTATTACCCCCCCCCGTACCTGCTCCTCAACCAGCTGCTTCCATTTTGCAACTATTGCTATCAGTTGTAGGCAAATTGGAGTCAGCTGGACTATAGCATTTTTAAAGAGCTATTTTTACCTTTTTTGAATCCTTCTCCACATAGAAACTGAAATAACAACTGTGCTCTGATGAGTCTGCAGACCAACATGGGTTGAAACCCCCAGAGCTTTGTTAATCCATGCATTCTTCGTGCTTAATGCAGAGAATCTACTGGGATTTGAAATCTCAGTGCTAACTGCTGGTACATTTCTGAGGTATTGTGCCCACCAAAGACATAAAGCAAATTTAATCCTCTTTATCCTTCGGGATAAAGGTCCCAAATCCAGCTCTGTCTCTGTCCTAAGATCTGATGATTCTGAGAGCGTTGGGAATGTACCCTCTCGTGCCCATTCCACTAAGTGTGCTGTGAGGGCATCGTTTCATGAAAACTACGTATGTAACCCACTGTCGGTGTTGACAGGGTCCAAAATGGCTTTTCTGCTGAAATTGTAAGAGTGGTAAAAGTTCTTTACTGTCTTTGTCTCCATGCTTTACAGAACCTGGTGAGGAGAACATGCAGGAGGCACCACCAAGTGGCAGAGGCAGGCGGCTTGCAAGACACACGGCTTTCATCCTGAGAACAACGGAACTACTGAAGGAACTTAGCGAAGAAGGGATGGGCAGGGGTGACAGTGGGACTTATCCATGTGGCTTTTGGCTTAGAGACGCAGGACAGGTGGCAGCTCTGTCCTGAAATGGGAGCAGGAGACGCAGACTAAGCTGCAATTGGGAGTAGGCACTGAGGGGAGGGCCGAGGCTCAGGGGGTTTGGATTCAACTCCTCAGTGTAAAGTTGACAACCGGTGAGGTTGTACAGGAGACAGGGACAGAGGAGCTCAGACTGTGAAAGGACAGGCAGAGAAAAGCCCTGGCCCGCCCCCCCAAAATGGTCAGAGAGGTAGCTGGAAAATCAGAAATAGACGACATATTAAAACTTGTAGCAGGCTGGGGATGTAGCCTGGTGGTAAAGCATGCATGAAGCCCTGGATTACACACACACACACACACACACACACACACATAACTTGCTCACTGCTCCCACACATGCTCATTGCTTGGGTCCTGTTATTAGAAATAAGTTTACTTATGACAAAATGTGACTTGTTAATATATGAAACAAGCAGCGATTCCTCATTTGGATCACAGGGCTGTGAGGTTCAAATAAAAAAATTGAAAATATTTCTCAAACTTTCAGGGTGCATGAAATCATTTGTAGGGCTTCTTGAACTAGACTGCTGCTTCTGGTTTGATTAGTTTCAGGCTAGGAAGACCTGGGGTGGTGCTACCCCAATCTAAATGTACTCAAGAGCTTCCGATATCCCGGGTCCTGAACAATCCCTTGTGAACCATTGCAATACCAATGCAAAGCAGTAGGGCTTTGAAATCGGCAAAATTCAGTTTTCCCCCGTGTTGTTTCATCCCTTGGTGACGCCGAAATTTCTTTCCCCTCCTCCTCTCTAGCAGCACCGTATGTTCATCCAGGAGAGAAGGGTCAGCTGGGCAGGGTTTTGTAGATTGCCTAGGAGGTGAGCAAGGACTTGAGGGGAGCTTGATGGAGGAGGGGAGGGAAAACACGTGCTCTCTTCCGAGGAAGCGCTGAGAGCCTGGTGGCGTACCAAGTGGGGGCTTTCCCCCCAAAGTCAAGTAGGTGCAAAACGTTGCTATTGCCATCTTGTAAAAACCCCATTAGAGACCCTGTGATGCGACCCGGAGGGAATCACATGAGCATTCAGAGAGGGAACATCGGCCTCATCCTCTGGTCCCTTTCCGAGCCCGGAGAAACGCGCGTGCCTCGACACGGCCCCTTTGGAGCCCACAAGCCGGGGGTCGGGAAACGTATCAGCACCCGCGCGCGGCCGAGGAGCGCAGGGCCGGGACCCAGGGAAGCGGGCGGGGGAGTGAGGAGCCGGGCCGGGCTGCGCCGGGGGCTGGGGGACTGGGGGACCGGGGGAGCCGGAGCGTGGGGGCTCTGGCGACCGGGCCGGGGCGGGGGTGCGCCTTCCGCTCCGCGAACCCCGCGGCGACCCCCGGCTCTGGCCTCCGGACGCTGAAGTTACTCGGTGGAGGGGCGGGACGCCAAGCTCCTGTCCAATCAGGGCGGCTGCTCCGGCCACAGTATTTGCATATTTATGTGACTAACCGAGCCCCGCTCCGCTCCCCGCCCCGAGGGGTCCCGGGCGGGTGGGGCGAAGGCAAGAGTTATGCTAATGAGGTGGGCGGGACGTCGCAGCGCGCTCTGCGGAGGGTATTTAAGGCCCGCGCACCCGGAGCCCAGAGACGCTTCGGGCAGCCTAGCTCGGCGCTTTCCCTCCCTTCCCGCCTTCGGCCGCGCCTTCGCCCTAGCGGCTCCGGGTCCCGGCGGCACGCGGCGCAGCGCTGGGCCAAGCAGAGGTGCGCGAGGTTCCGAAGCAACAGGTCGGGCGGCCGCGCCGTCCCCACCACCAGGTGGCCTCGCAGGTGTCCGGGCCCCGCCACCGCCCGCGGGATGCGCCTGGGCCGCCGGTGCTCGCGCTGAGCCCGTTCCGCCCGCAGCTGCTGCGCCGCAGCCTCGGACTGAACTTCGTGGGCGTCGCCCCCTCCGAGACCGCGGGCCCAGGCTGGAGGGAGAAGCCCAGCCCGCCGCCGCCGCGATGCCGCCGAAGGAGCCCGCTGCGAGGGCGGCCGGGCGGGAGCCGGGGCCCGAGGCGCCCCCCGGCCGGCGCTGTGCCCGCGCCGTGCCCCCGTGTGCCGCGCTCGCCACGGTCCTGTCTGTGGTCGCAGTGGCCTCGTGTCTGTACCTCGGGGCGAAGACCGGCGAGCTCCAGGCGAGGATCGCCGCGCTCGAGTCCGCCGGAGAAGCCCCCTCCCTCCGCCCGCTGCCCGTCAGCCTGGATCAGCTGAAGGCCGTGGTGCAGGAGAAGGTGGAGCGGCTGCTGGCTCAGGTGTGCCGGGCGGGCCAGCGTCTGCGCGGGACGTCCCACGGGGCGTGCACCCGCTCCGCGCGCGGCCTCTCAGGCGCGCGTGGCGAGGATTTGTCCGATGCACGTGCCTTGCACTGTCGGGTGCCGGGTCTGTCGCCGCCCCCTCCGCCTCTGTTTGCCGCTAGCACGCGTGGAGGTGTAAAGGGGAGGGGCGGCAGGGGACAGACAGCCCTCTCTAGCTTTACTGGAGTCTCCTGTGACTCAGTTGTGTGGAGAATATTCCTTCAGACACAGCATCTGTTCATTGCCTCACATCTTACGTGGAGATTAGAGCTAGAGGTTTTTTTAATGTAAGGAAGGCAGCCACTCCTAAGAAAGAAGTCGTCCCGTTAAAACCGACCTCTTTGATCTATTGCATCTTTTCATATTAAAAGTTTAAAAGAATTTGAAAAGTAGCTTTGTTTTTGGTGCAGTGCCGGGCATTTGTGAATGCAGAACCACTGGAGATGAGAACTATGGCTAAGGGTGGCTTCAGGGGGTGTTGGAAGTTGCTCTCCGAACAAGCAGGGTGTTTGGCAGTAGCTGCAGCGCAATGACAAGGCCTTCGTGTACAAAATAGTGGCCGTCATGGCTGAGCCTCAGTTTACCTAGAGGAGTACATGTTATTGCAGGTGTTGGCACTGACTGCTTACACCTGCGCTGAGGGAGAGGGTGATGGTAGCTGAATGGAGAAAGACGTTAGATCCAGCAATCTTGCTACCCCATCGGCTGTCCTTTTCTTTTAGGACTTGGATACAGTTACCTTTTGACTGAGGCCTGAGTTCACATGTAAATGTTAGTTGCGCAAGCTCTCGGTGCTGATGAGCCAGGCCATGTGGCCAGAGCCCCCAAGGAAGCCATCCCCGTGCTACTGCTGACTGTAACTTCTCTCTTCCTACAGAAGTCCTACGAACATATGGCTAAAGTACGAGTCTCGAGAGAAGCGCCTTCAGAGTGCAACTGCCCAGCAGGTAAAATGGAACCCGTTAACGAGGTCTCTTCCTTAGCAGCACATCTGAAATCCGAGGTCCTGTGTCTGTCAAGTCCACCTGTAATAGCAAGAAAGAATGCAGACCCAACTTGCTTTAATAAGATCAGCATGTCTCAGCCCAAGCGATGGCGAGTAAAGCCCTGGATATGATTGTGAGCGGCATACAGGGTCTGTAGGGGAGAGTGGAAAATAGGGGCAAGATGCTGTGCAGAGGCAAAGGGCTTAGAGTCACAGATCGAAAGTGTTCTTCAATTATATGAAATTAACGTCTGGTGAAAAGGACTGTAGAGCTGTTAGATTCTGAATTCCCCGGGGTAATGTTGCACTAGTGCATGCTTCTGTTTATTCTTTGGCACAGGGTTATGTTAAAAAACGCCTTCACTGCTTTGCTTTCCCCTTTTCTGTCAAAACAGTTCTTTCTCCTGTTCCATATAGATGAAGACTCAAAGGACATTAGTTCTTTATCTTGGGCTTCACATTACAAACTGCCTTCAGTGACTGCTCAGAAAGGGTTCTTAAATTCTCACCATTTTTTCTGTGTGGTTTCAAGGACCTACATTAATGATAGTGTAGCAGAAGGGTGGAGAAGAGAAGCCTCAGTGACTCACGCCCTCCCCTCACGGGTCCCCGAGGCCGGGTGTCCTCTGTAGATGGGTTCTGTGATACAGGCCATGAAACTCACGGGACTCTTGAGGTGTTTTTAGATAAGTGCTGTTAATGCCTATAAGTGAGTCTCTTATATATTCTTTAATGGTCAAGTACAGAGGATCCTTGACTTATGAACTTGATCGGTTCCTGAGGGCTGGTTGTAACTCAAGTTGGTTGTAAGTGAATACAGCTGAGGTCTGGATATTTGTCTGGGTACATGCTATAGATAACAAGCAGGTGAATCTTCCATCGGCCTAATAAACCCAATTATTTAGTGTCAGGCTGGTTGTAACTTGAGGGTCCACTGTACATGGTACTTGGATATCCGTATAGTCCTGGGCCACACAAGGGTATTCCAGTCACCCACGGACCCACGTATGATGGTGGTCCCAGGAGATTTGCTGGCCTTGTGACATGGCCACCGTGGTTGGTGTAAGTGTGCTGTGTGATGTTTGCCTAGTGATAGAATCATCTAAGGACACAGTTTGAGAACATATTTCCATCTTGGAGGCACAGGATGTGAAAGTCCAGTTCATTATTTTCTTCCAAGACTTTTTTCCCCCTCTTGATAGCTTGTTTTGACATAGCTAAACTGTACCATCTTAGACATTTTAAATACTGTGTCACCTCCAGGTGGTACAGCCTAAAAACTGTTTATATTCTGTTGATTATAGTTTTTAATTGAAGACTGGATCGAGAAGCTATATTAGGAAAATAAAGTGTCAACATCCAACAGTGTAGGCCTCATTCTTGGTGGCTTTATGTTGGGAAAGATCTGCAAAGTTGAGTGCTGAGGAAAGGCGCTTCTAGTACAGGAATTAACTGGCACCAGCCTCCTCAGTGTTCAGGGATTGTTTGCATTCCCGAGACAGTTGGTATGGCCACACCACTTGAGTCCAGGATTTAAGAATTATTCTTAGCATATGCAAGACATAACCGTTACGGTGATTTTGAGGAATTGGTACCTGTATGTAGCATATCTTGATCATTTTCCATCCCTTTCCGCATCTCCAAAAAGTCTGCTTTTCTGTTTCCTACATCTCTCCTTTTTTTACTTTGATTTACAATCTAGGTTTCTTATATAAGAGGAACTATTTGATATCTTCTTTTTCTTGAGTCTAGCATTTTCTTTTTGTATACAGTACTTTTGACATCTGTGAATTCAAAGTAGCTGAGAGGAGTCTTAGTGAGTTTGGTAAAAAGTGGAAAAGCGATCCTTACAGCCCTGAGGAGAGTCTTCTGAGAAGGTATCTTGCCTCACGGTGTGTAATGTGGGGTAGTTATTGAGGTCTAACTTGGAACCTGGAAGATAACGATTCCTTTAGTTTACTGAGGACGGATTATTTGGGACGATTTTCCATCTGAACATAGTCATTTAATAATAAATGGTGGTTTTCTTGGCTTTTTTCTTTTTTTCTTGTAACAACTGCCTTACTTCCTTATTGCCACTAGAGCTCTACATCACCTCAGTTTTTACCTGGCTACTTGCAAGGTAACCTTGGAGGGTGTGTGTTCCAAGACATGGAATTGCACAGGTTTCTTGCTGACAGACCACACTTATAGACACACTCCCTCTGCTTGTGGAATAACCAGACACATCAAAATAGAGGCATTCTGTTGAAAGTGGTATCCTGGAGCAACTGAGCAATGTTAAGTTACGGTCAGTGAGGTATTGTCCTAGGAAACGAACAGGCGGGCCAAGAGGATTAGAAAGGAGATACCGTGCTTCCCACCTGGTTTGGCTCTGCCTTTGGTTTGCAGGACTTAGAGTCGTCCCCCAGACATCTGCTGGTGGGGCAGAGTGAGACAAGTCTGTGACCTCAGCCCAGTTCCTGTGGACACATGCCCACCCCTTGAAGTTGACACCGCTGTTGACAGTCTCAGAGCCAAGGACCTGATAGCTGAGAAGTAAAGCTGGGTCGTTGGGTTCACTGTGGTTACTTTTGCTAGATCTTGGTCCCAGGGAGGCTTATCCAGGTAGCTATGAGGATATCGTAAAATTTATAGATTTTTTGAAATATGTACACAGGAAGGCAGCTCTGATGGAAGATGGAGGACGAGTCTTTACTTCTAACTGTAGGAGAGCCTCTCTTTAATTTTCCTTAACAACCTGGAGAATTCGGTACCAGTAATCTCCTTTCATAAATGAGGAAGCTGGGACTCAGAGTGGCTAACATACTGAAGGTCAGGATTCAGGCCCACCTCTGAAGAAATCAAAAGACCAAAGCCCATTGAGAATGGAGGATGAAGATTTTGGAGTGGATAATTCTGGATTGGAATTTTGGATCTGCTACTGAATAACTGTAACCTTAGTAAAATTAGTGAACTTCTCTGTAGTCCACTCACCCAATTGCCCAAGGCTAATACTACCATTTTTATGGGATGATAATTTATGTAAGTGGCCTGACACAGTCTGCATTAAGTACTAAGTATTCTTTTTCCTGTATGCTATTGAACTCTATAGACAGGAAAACTGAGGCCAGGAAATAATGCCGCTTGCTCAGAACCCAATGGCTTATGAACCGCAGGTTTTGAATAAAATACTGTGCTTACTTAAATATACCTGTAGATCATTCGTGCAGATAATCAGACTAGTCAGTGTCTCTTACTGGTATATCAATGAAGGGTGGTCTTTTACAGATACTTATATTAGTATCCTAAATTATTACAAAAATTACAGCGAGTGCTTTTGACCCGTTAGGTGGAGTGTGGGAGAAATAGGATTTTTAAGAGGATAGAACCCTGGTGTGGTGGTACTGCATGCATGTAGTCCCAGCTGCTTTTGAGAAGCTGAGGCAGGAGGATTGCAAATTTGAGGTCAGCCTGGACAGCTGGGCAAGACCCTGTCTCAGAGTAGAACAGGAAGTGATGGGGCTGTGGCTCAGTGGTAGAGCACTTGCCTGGCATATGTGAAGCCTGGCTTCAATCCCTAGTATTGGCAAAAGGAAAAAAGTAGGATAGTGACAGTAAAAGGTCTTTATAGTTTAATGCTAGGTACTTATGAAGTTTACAAAGAGTAGATTATCTGAATCATTTTCAGACTTTTAAAAAGATTGAAGTGCAATTTATAATTACCTATTTTAGTATCTAATAAATTTATCATTGGGCACTCAGCACCACAATCTAGCTTTAGATCATATTTGTCCCCCTTGAAAATTCAAATTTCCTTTTGAGCTCAAGAGGAGCTATTTTTAAAAGTATTTGCTTCATAAGAAACCCTGAAATAATGATACAAAGCCCTTATATATCAACAGAGCTCTGTTTAGCAGAGTATTTGAGCGGTTGCTGAGGCATGGAAATGTAGCTCATATTGGAGACTTGACCTCCCTAAAATTTGACCTTCATTTGAGAGAATCAGTTGGTTCTTTTCAATGGCTGTAAAACTGTCTTGGGTTCTGTTCTTGGTGTTTTACATAAAGTATGCATGCACCGGGGATGTTTATGGAAGGGCTCCTGTGATCAGTGGAGTTGGGCAGCCAACCCAATGATGTTGCAGTCAGAGTAACTAAGTCAAGACAGCTGAGGTCTGGATGTTTACCTGGGGACATGCTATAGATAACAAGAGGCAGATGAATCTTCATTAACCCAATTAATCCAAATTGTATGTCAGGCCGGTTATAACTCTAGGGTCCACTGTATTTTCTGAGGCTGCTGTATACCCTCCAAGTACATGAAGATGATTACATACAAAGTAAAAGCAAGGAAAAGTACCTATTTTTCATAATGCGAGCAACGTAGCTTCAGGAGACTTAAAGGCACTTTGGGTCAGTTACAGGTGGAGATAAATGTTAATCACGGCCTTCAGCATGTGCTGCTTTTCCCGTGGCTTAAGAGGTTGTAATGAACCCAGCCTGGGCGACTTAGCCAGACCCTGTCTCTAACGGGCTGCCCATGGGTTCAATTAAAACCCTTTAAATTATTTTGCTAACATTTATCACGTAAAACTTGTTTTTCCTATGAACATGGATTTTCACTTATGCTATGTGTTTTTTTCTACCAAGCCACACGATGAATGGAAAGAGTGTGTCTAGTAAGGGGATGGTAATGCTTAGTTCTGTAAGGTGAAGCGCGATTGGAAGCAGTCTGTAGAAAGAAAGCAAATTAAAATGCTTAAATGTTACTTGGGAGAGCGGCAGACATTCCCTCCTTCTTGGAAGACTGAACAAAACTGTGTGCCCTATGAGCACCTTGGTGCATGCGCGTGATATTGTTCCAGTCCTACTGAATACAACGGTTTGGGTGTAGCACCTTTAGTTGTCCAGGAGTGACAGCTGCAAAGTGCCCTGCTGCCCAAAGGACCAAAGACAAATGGCCTCTTGGAGCAGCGTTCTT